ATAATATATATATCTATATTCAAACATTATATTTATTTATACATATAAATTATTATAAATTTTAATTATATTATATATATAATAAACATGCGTTGTATAAGTTAAAATACTAGTTTTACAATATTTTTCTTAAATTGTCCTTGTTATAAATGTCAAAAGTAGTACAATTGAAAAATCATACATTAAAAGATAAATATTTTTGGAAAAGTATTATTAAATAAGATAAAAATAGTTAAAATTTATTTATATTTAAGAAGAAAAAAAGTGTGTGATTTTGCTTATATTAGAAAATAGAGTAATTTGAAAAATAAAAACATAAATTAAAGATTTAATACATCATTTGGTCTCCAAATTTTTTAAAAATTTTCAATTAAGTTTTTAAACTAAAAAAAATTATAATTAAACCCTTAATGTTTTTAATATTTTTGTTATTTAATCCTTATAGTTATAAATTCATTTAGAATCCATGTAATCATGTCACAAAGTATTTTTTTACATAATGTTCATAACTTACTTTTTGTATACTCTATATTATGTTACATTATATTTAAAAAGTAGGACGCTAGTTTGTGTAATATTTAACCTAAATGTTTATTATATATAATATATAACTAAAATATATAATAAATTATATATAGAAACAATATCATATTTAAATATATAAATTATATTTAAATTTTGTATAAATAGATAATAAAATATATTTTAAATTTATAATAAATAATTTATATTATAGCATAAAATTATTTTTATTTGGTGATAATTTATTTAAAACATTAAAAATTAATTTATAAGTAATTATGACAAGTAAATATTAGATAAAAAGTTAAAAAAAATTCTGAAAAATTTCTCCAAAAAACATACAAAATATATATAATTTTAAGTATAATAATATCACATAATTTATTAATTGAATTGATTAAATTTATATTATACAAAAACTATTGAAAGTAAGATTTAGTGTAAATTTTTAAACTTATATTTATTAATTTTTAAATTTAGTTATAATTATATTAATTTTATATTATGTTAACATAAATAAGGATGAGAATTTTCAAGAAAATAAAGAGAGAAAAGTTAGCTCTTAATATAAATAGAAGAATGTTGATAACTGAAAATCTCACATCATCTTCACCACACACTAACCAGCAAAGTTTAGTACAACATTGGTCACACTCACATTGTTTTGATTTTCTGTGCTCATTGTAAGATTTGGATCAAGTATTAAGACTCATAGCTTCTGTCATACATAATTTGAAATATGATGATGTCATTTGGATCAAATCCAATGAAAAGTTTTGTTTATTAGTTTATTATAATTAAAAGGAAAAATATTTTTTTACATTTATTCTTTGTTTACATTATTTTCACATATTTCCATTGTATTACTCAAGTCCTTTGGAAAGAACGACTATTACTTCTACTTATTACTTGGGCGATTGGTTCGCTTGCCATATTGGAAGTAATTGTTAACAAGGAAACTCCATGAAATTAGTTAATTTGTCAAGACACCAAAGGTCCAATTTGCGACATAATCCGCACACTTGTTGCATTCTCTAAGGATATGAGATATAGAAACTGTCCAATCCCTATCCAATAGCTTGGAAATTTCTTGCACCAAATTTGAATAATGATGCATATGAGGCACCCCTCCTTGAATCCACTTCACTGCAACTAAAGAATCAGCTTGACAATAAGCTCTTGATAAGCCCATTCTTTGATAATAGGACTTTAAGGAATTTTTTTAACTTTTATTTAATTTATTTTTTATTTTATAATTATTTATAAATTAAATTTTAATATTTTTTAAAATAATATCTATTTATGAAAATTTTTAATATGATTTATATATTCAAATATAATATTTATTTATATTTATAATCAATCCATATATATTAAATATGAACCTCTATTTTACACGAGTGCGAAAATATTTTTAGGGACTTTTCTTCAATGAAATTTTTTTTAAAACTTATTTTTAATTTCTTATCAAATTCAATTTTTACTTATCATATATGATTTAAATTTTATTATTTTAAAATAAATTAACAATAAATAAAAATAATATTATACTATAATATAAACTATTTATCAAAATTTTAAAATATAATTTTATATATTTCAAAATATTTGTAACGACCCGTCAGGTTTCACACTGTATATAGCGTCACCTCAAAACTTCATCTTCCCTAACTTTACTTCCTCCAATACATTTTTTTATTAGTAAATCAAAATGTAGTTATTACCTGTTCAAGAGACATGCATTAATCTTCATCGCTTTCATGTCACACTTACTTTGAAGAACAAATTAAGCAGTGAATAATCTTTAATGGTAAAGAAATAAGGGTATATGTTAATCATTATCAAAATAAACCACTAAATTTAATATTTTAAAAAACAAACTAATGTTACATTCTCATAACAGTAAAAATTGGAGTCACCTCTTTAAGGTTATCTTGCTCACACTTGCAACACTAAGAATTTAACTCTTTTAAATTAACTTAATTGAATCATAAGATGTATGTTGTAATAACTAATTTGCAAAAGTCACTACAATCAAACACACATGCCGCACTTATTTTGAAGAACATATTATATAAGCCAACTTACAGATTATATTCACTAACAAGAAAATTTGGATAGTAAGGTGTGTATAAATGCATATATTATATTAAACAAACTATTCGTATGGTCATAGAATAGAATAAAAGATAAGTACTTAATTACATGGTGTTTAATTCTTCATGTTCCTTTTCCACATGCTTACGGGCATCACCATATACAGATGTAGCCTTAGCCAATATGTTGTCACTGTTGTTCTCTGCTCTATCTTAAAACATGTGCTATCAAAAGATGGTAAAAATGACTGATGTGACATGGAACCTTTTACCAAAGATTTAAAAGACCCTAAAACTTCATCTTCCCTAACTTTACTTCCTCCGATACATTTTTTTATTAGCAAATCAAAATGTAGTTTTTACCTGTTCAAGAGACATGCATTAATCTTCATCTCTTTCCAGCTCCATTAATTTTCATCTCTATTAATCAGATCCTTTTGCATTTACTTGCAGCTCGACTTTCATATTAATCTTAAATGGCAATATTAGCAACTATTTATGCGTGTTTGCAAGCTGAGTGACAGGTTTATTTAAAGACCTCAAAACTTCATCTTCCCTAACTTTACTTCCTCCAATACATTTTTTTATTAGTAAATCAAAATGTAGTTATTACCTGTTCAAGAGACATGCATTAATCTTCATCGCTTTCCAGCTGCATTAATCTTCATCTCCATTAATTGGATCCTTTTGCGTTTACTTGCAGCTTAACTTTCATATTAATATTGAATGACAACATTAACAACTATTTATCGTGTTTGCAAGATCAGTGACGTGTTTATTTAAAGTTACCACTCCATCTGAGTCACTACTAGGGGTGTTGATGTCCGGTAATTAAGTTCCAACTCATCCCTTAACAATATATATACCTATCATTTAAGATACTTAGCTTTATAAATAGAAGTCCAAGCGAGAAATCATGTAGCAAGAAATCATACTTAATGTTACTTTAACTTCATATTTCAATGTTATAGTACCATATTGTCAAATTTTAAGATGTTGTATATTTAAATTTCTCATAGGCATGGTTTCTATTAGTATCATTGATCATTTCTATTCATAATTACTAAATGTTGTTGATATAAGAGTGTTGATTGGCATTTGTAATGACTTTACAACTATAGGCGTCATAACAACTTTACAACAATAGCCATCTTTACAAT